CAATCTGGTCTCAGCAATTCGGAGAAGGTTGTAATTGCTCACAGCCAGTCAGAAGCAGTCTGAACAGGTTTCAGCTGGTCAGAAGCAGTTTGAATAGGTTAGAACCAGTCTGAGATGGTTTGAACTGTTCAGAACCAGTCTGAGCTGGCCAGAACCGGACTGAGCCATTTTGAGCCGGTTTGACTGGGTCTGAACCCGGTTTGACCCGGTCAGATCTGGTCTGAACCGGTTGGAGTCGGTCTGAACCAGTCTAAACCGGTTTGAACTAAATTTAACCAGTCTGAACTGGTCTGAACACTTGCGACCATTCTCAGCCTGTGTCTATCACCTTAAAAGTGTCGAGATGCTTCTAAAAGTGTGTGAACAGATTTAAAGTGTATGGAACCTGACAAAACCAGTTTGAACCAGTCTAAACCACTTTGAACCGGCTTGAAGCAGCCTAAATCGGCTTGAAATGGTTTGAACCAGTCTAAAGTTGTTTGAACTAGCTGAAACCGATCTAAACCTGTCTGAACCAGTTTGAACTGGCTGGAACCAGTCTAAACCGATTTGAGCCAGTCTAAACCGGTCTGAACCAGCTGAAAACAGTCTAAACCGGTTTGAGCCGGTTTGAACCAGTCTAATACACCTGCGAGCGTTCTCAGCCTGTGTCTGTCACTTTAAAAGTGTTGAGATGCTTCTCAACGTGTCTGAACTGGTCTAAGCTGTATGGAACCTGTCATAATTGGTTTGAACCGATTTAGACCGCTTCGAACCAACTGAAATCAGTCTAAACCGGTAAAACCGGTTTGAACTAGCTGAAAATGCTCTAAGCCAGTTTGATCCAGTTTGAATCAGTCTAAACTGGTTTGAACCACCTGAAACTGGTCTAAACAGGTGTGGACAAGCTGAAACCAGTCTAAACTGGTTTGACCCGGTCTAAACTGGCTTGAACCCGTTTGAACCAGCTTAAACTGGTGTGAACAAGCTGAAGCTGGTCTAAACCGGTCTGAGCCGGTCTGAACCAGTTTGAACAATTCTGACTGTTCTCAGTTGGTGTCTGTCACTTTAAAAGTTTCGAGATGCTTCTCAACATGTCCAAACTGGCCTAAACTGCATGGAACCTGTCAAAACCGGTCTGAACTGGTCAAACCGTATTGAACCGGTCTGAACTCTTTTGAACTGGCCTAAACCGGTTTGAACTGGTCTCAACCGGTTTGAGCCGGTCTAAAGCGGTTTGAGCCAGCTGAAACCGGTCAAAACCAGTTTGGGCCAGCTGAAACCTGTCAAAATTGGTTTGAGTCAAAATCAGTTTGAGCCAGCTGAAACCTGTCAAAATTGGTTTGAGCCAGCTGAAACCGGTCAAAACCAGTGTTTGAACCAGTCTGAACACTTGCGAGCGTTCTCAGCATGTGTCTGTCACTTTAAAAGTATCAACATGCTACTCAACGTTTGAACCACACTGAACCTGTCTGAACTGGTTTTATCTGGTTTGTACACTTGCAGCCATTCTCATCCTGTGTCTTCTCAACGAGTCTAAACTGTTTGGAATCCGTCAAAACTGGTTTCAACCGGTCTAAACCGGATTGAACCACTCCAAATGGGATTGAACTGGTTTGAACCGGTCTAAACCAGTTTGGACCAGCTGAAATCAGCCTAAACGGTTTGAACCAGCTGAAACCACTCTAAGCCAGTTTGATCCACTTTGAACAGGTTTTTGAACCAGCTGAAACCAGTCTACACCGGTTTGAACCAGCTGAAGCCAGTCTAAACCGGTTCGAGCCAGTTTGAACCAGTCCGAACCTGTTGGTGCCGGTCCGGACAGGTTTGAGCCATTTTGAACTTTAAAGAGGTCGGATGCAGATTCAGAACCTTCAGAACTCTTGGGAAGATTTTTTCCGTTTTGAGCCAGCAGGGGGCAGTGTCAATTGGTCTTGAACAGGTCTGACATGGTCAGAACCAGACTGATCCTTTGTGAAGTGGTTTGGATTCTCTCTGACTGGGCTTCCGCCGGTTTGGGCTGGTTTAACCAGTTTTGAACTGGTTTCAGCCAGTTTGAACTGGTTTTCACTGGTTTGGACTGTCTGAGCTGGCTTGAACTGGTTTGAACCGGTCTGAACTGGTTGGAGCCATTTTGAACCTTAAAGGGTTCAGAAGTGGATTCAGAACCATAAGAACTCTTGGAATGATATTCTTTCGTTTCCAGCTATTGGGGGCAGTGTCAGTTGGTATCTCTCCGTTTCATGAACAGGTCTCAGCCAGTTTGATCTAGTCAGAAATGGTCACAACCAGTTTAAAGCGGTCTGAACAGGACTGAGCCAGTCAGAGCCGGTCTGAATCGGTCTGAACCGGTTTGGACAGGTTGGAACCTGTCTGAAATGGCTTAAATCAGTTTTAGCTGCTCTGTACCGGTTTTGACCAGTCTGAACCAGTTGGAGCCCCTGTGGAGCAGTTTGAGCCAGTTTAAATTATGTCCATATTAGGGTTCTTCTCACCTCGGTGTGAGAACTAGAGGTCAACCAAGGCCATCTGAGCCAGGATAGGGGAATCTATTACCATTACTTAAAGAAGTCCAATTATTTGGGTTGAACACTGGGGGATCTGAAAGCTAGAAGAAACTTTTCTCCTTGTAAATCCTAGAGACACCTAGGAGATGAGATACTAGAGGATATCTAGACATACACAGAGCTACCCGAGGAGGAACTTCTGTCCGTGATGAATTCTACAGATACTAAGAAGAATGTTGTGGGTTTACCAGTGAACATGTCTTCTCTACCTAGAAGTCTTATCCTTACTCTCAGAACAAGGATGAGGTAATCACCATTACCCCTTGTATGTCATGTGAAATCATGGTGGTGCCCATTGACCCCAAACTGTTCAGGGGGAAAATCCCACATTCCCTATTCTAAGGGTTCATGTCCACCCGTGAATATAAAAGCAGGGTAATCAAACTCTTGTGTGCTCAAATATTTTTCATCAGTGAGGTGTACAAAGGGACGAGAGGGTGAAGAGGAGTAGGAGAGAGAAGTAGCTCAAAATCAACACATGGATTCCCCCTCTGAAATCCACTGTCCCCTCACCCGCAAGCCAAACAGGCAGGGTCCAGAGCTGAGTGGCCAAAGCCCAAAAGTGAAGCCGTCAGGAGAATGAATCCAAGGAGACCTCCCAGCAGGAAACATAAGCAAGAGGGTTTGAAGGGTCCAAAGAGTTGGGAGGGGAGGCGAGAATCAGAATTCAAAATGCACTGCCTGTGCTGAACCACCATGAGACCAAGATGGCTACCGGCGTCTCTCAGGGATCGTGCTACGTGCTGAAGTGCTAAGCCATAAAAGAGCTGTGCACAGCCGTGTTCGGGGTCCAAGACTCTGTTTTGTGGTTGGCTCTGTGAGAGACCAACCTCCACACGTGGGTGCAGTTCTAAAGTCATTTCATTCACGTTACAAAAGACACCTTCAGTGCTCTCCTCACTTAGGAAATGCCAAAAGTTTTCAGAGCTCTGTGGCAGGAATGGGGACGAAGACTGAATACCCATTTTTTATAAATCATTTAAAAATGTCCTTTGGACTGAAATTGGCATTATCAAGGAAACAGGCATAAACTGGGACTTCTTTAGCCACAAAGGACTTGTAATACCCTCAGAAATAAAAGACTCAGAAATAAAGCACTTGGTTCTTCTGTACTGTAAAGGAATACACTTCTGGATTTAATACAGTTTTAAAAAACAGAATTGAAATAAATTAGGTCTTATAAATTAACTTCTCAATAAAAATCCATAGAGATCACACCATGTAATCATGTGAAATGAAAACAAAACGAGACAGATATGGGGATTTTCACAATTACGTATAGAAAAAGGAAAGTGAGGGGGAAATGTAGCCTTAAAATAGGCAACTACACTAGCAGCAGAAATGCAAAAAACAATAATAATAATAATAAAAGGACTCTCAATATGCCTGTCAACACCAATATTCATACTTGCTAGAGGGCAGTTTGCCTTGACTACATGCTTTCTGATTTCACTAAATCTATCTCCTCAACAATTTATGCAAGAATTAAAAAAAAAAAGGATTAGGCATAAAATTACTTTGAGCTGATCAAGAAATAAATCGGATCAAACACACAGTTTTGTTAAATCCCTGATTTATATAGAAGGGTAAAATAGTATTCTCTGTAGTTAATTCCTCATAATGAAATACAATACTGAAACTAGTAAATAAATTATTTATGGTTATAAGAAAAAAAATGTCCTTTGACTTGTTGGTTCTCAAAATCATGGCACCCCCCGAGTGCCCTCAGGATGCCCAGAGTCAAGGATTGAAGGCTACTAAGGGTCTTTTGGAAGGTTCCCGCCTTGATTCTTCAGGAAGGAAAAAAGATGTTTCCATGGCAGTGTGTGGTCTTTGCAACTATTTGAATATCTTCTGGAATTTGCCTTTAGTGTTCTTTGAAAATAAATGGGAGGAAAAAAAAACTTGCTGAGGCAAATGATAAGACAGTTGAGGTCTTACAGTCACTGAAATCAGTAAATTTCAATGTCAAGCCTCATGTGTAGAGAAATCCAAAATTCAAGGTCGTGTATGAAATGTGATTTCATTTTTATGTCAGGATTATGTCTGAAAGGTGAGTATGGCAAAGTAGTAAGAAATGATGAGATCTCTAAATTCCAAGGCTAATTTTTCAAGTTGTTGAAAAACATTTGTATATGTGTAATTGTGGGACCTGCAAAACACAGAAGAAATTACAGAGAACAAGTAAGCACCGTGCATTTATTGCCCCTTCCCTGATTTATCAAATGTTAAAACATCAAATGTCAAATACAGCAAATGCTGAAAGTCCCTCTACCTTAAAAGGCAACCACACTTCTGGTTTCAAAGATTGACTCATATGAGAGGAAGCATCGATTCTCTACTGGCTTTGTTCACTGACAACCAGCCACGTTACCCACATCAACAGTCCATTTTGTTGCTGACCAGCAAGTCCATGGTATGAATTCACCAGTTTGGTGGCTCATCCTCATCTAAATGGAGTCTGCCTTTGGGCGTGTGATCCTCCTGAGTGGTGAGTGGGGCTCTGAGGCTGGGAGAGCTGTGGGGAACCTGAGCAGGCTGGACCCTATAAACTCATAGGCAATGGAGATAGCTGATCTCCAGGGTCTGGGGTGGAAAATGGAACAGAGACCATGACCTGAGCAAAGCGAGGGGAGACAGCTTGTGGATTTTGCTTGAGAAAAAGGTCTCTGTACCCCAAGGTCTCCCTTCAACCCTCCTCCCGTGGGAGGCCCATATGAGTGCCGTTCTGGGAGTGGAGTCTTCCCCAGGGCTCCGAAGAGGGGGCCCAGCAAAAGTCACTGGAGAGGGGAAGTGGTGGACATAGCTCCTTGCTCCTGCAACATAGCCAGTCTTCATTTCAGCTAGGCTGTCCTACTGCCGCCAAGAGATAGTGCAGAAGCTGAAAACTGTATCAGGACCGCATGTGTGTGTTATTTGAAAGTCTATTGTGGATCAGTTCAAGCTCAGCTTCCACAGAAAAATCTAGATTGCCAGCTTCTCTTGAGAGAAGGGGAGGTCTACCGGCTCAGGCAACAAGGAACTGCAGCCTCGCACCACCCCCTCTACGAGGCTGACTGCCTGGCCCCTAAGGCAGTCGAGTCTCTGATCCTGGGACCTGCTACTTGCAGATCTCAGGAGCTGATTTCAGATGCAGCAGGGAGTCACTCCTCAGAGGAGTCGTGGGGCAAGAGCTCCCTTGTGTGTGGCCACAAATAGGGTTCCAGCACCATAAACATCTGCCTTTTCGCAAAGCCCTGGGATTCAGGTTTCTGGATCCCTCTTTGTCATGGTCTGGCTTGAGGCTTGACCTTCTTAGAAGAGGTCAGAGTTATTTCCTCAGGTCAGAGATAACTGGGGGCTCTAAGCAGAATGGGGAGAAAGGTGGCTGCCTGGAACTGGGGGAGCAGGTGGGGACCCTGGAAATGTAGGTGGTTTATGAGTTTAGTTACAGGGAGAGGAGTGTGATGGGTTGGCATGGGGAAGATGTGTTAGGATCCTGGCTGAGCCGGCGTCTTGCTGTCCTAGGTCAGCGGACTCAGGGTGGGGTACTTAGTCCCCTGCTCAGGGTCAAGCATGCAACAGCACTGGCAGAAGGCTGGAGCCTGCCTTCTCAGTGCCAGGCCCGGGGAAGGGACTCGGGAAGCCCATGGCCATAAATAATGACTCACAGGACTCTACATCTGCTCCCCAATCTGGACCTTCGGGCCTCTGTGTAAGGAGAAGATGGGGTGCTGGGTAGTCTTTAAGTGGGTGGCCTGGGACAAAACTATGTCCTGGTGTAATAGTGACTGGAATCCCTTTCACAGTCGTGAGGTCACGGTGGAGACAGTAAATGGTGTGTTCAATCGCTGTATCTTTAAGGGCCACTCCTGATCTAACATGCAAGCAGGTGACTGGTCTCCTTGCAGACTGTGGCTGTCCTCTGATGTGTCCTTGAGGGACCATGACTCTAGATAATTGCCATTTGCAACCCTGTGTTTTGATAATTTTTTAAAGATTTATTTATGCATACAGCAGCAAGGTTTAGGCCAGAGGTGTTGGGGGGGAGGGTTGAGAGGATTCACCAGAGACAGATTGGGGGGCAGAACAGGCGATCTACTGAAATACATTGCTGAGGGGAGCAAGACAGGAGAGGCCTGCTGTGCCGTGTGGGTCAGCTCCCTGGTCAAGGATTGAACTCAGGCTGCAGTAGCTGTGGAGAGCTTTATAGTGTTGAGACTTAACCCCTCGCACCACCAGGAAGGCCCATGTTTGATTATTTTTAGTGGAGACAGAGAGAAGGAAGCCCCATATATGGCAAATCAAGAAATGAGACGAGAACATCCTTGTCCTGGCAGACAGGGAACCAAGGCAGGAGGGGGTGGGCATCAAGACCCCAAGAAGTCAGGGGTCCCCCAGGAGAAGGGACTTCTCTGATCATCCCATTCACCACACATTTCCATATTCCTCAGTCCTGGCTTCTTATCATGGATTCAACCTGGATGTGGAGAAGCCTGTGATCTTTCAAAATGATGGAGCTGGCTTTGGGCAGAGCGTGGTCCAGTTTGACAGTTCAAGGTAGGGTCCGTCCCTCCCCTTCCCCATCTGCAGGAGGCCTATCTGCAGGAGGCTGAACCCCCTGCAGGTGGCACAGCAGGTGTTTCCTGAGGAGGGCAGGGTGGTTGAGCAACTGTGCTGAACCCCTGTGATGCTCTGCCCCCAGTTCTAACTATTCATCATCCCAGGAAGGCCACAAGCTCGGGGCAAGACACCCGGGGGGAGGGCTTGAACCTAAAACTGCTCACCAGCTTATGCCAGCAGGTCACTGAGCGTCCACCTCCAGCCATCTGCTTAGATTGTCTTCAGTCAGTCAGACACATAGGGGTTTCGGTTTCCCGAAGGGAAGGCTTCTCTAACTGACCTTTGGGTGCCCCTCTCGCTGAATCTACTTGGCTGATTAGTTAGTATCCATCTTGTTTTCCCATCGGAGTAGGGGCTGTTGGTAGCTGTTTTCCAAAATTGAAAAAGTTTTCTCTTCTCAAGGAGTTTGGCAAATAAACCATTGCCCTTACATGACTATAGAATATATGTGGGTTCTGATAAAGCTGCTTTAAGCAGGCAAGTTTAGGTAGTTTCTATTATATTTACATCATCCAATTCATTACAGAATCATCTATTTGTTTTGGAAACTGTGGTCTCAGGAAATTTTTCCTTTTAACCTGAGGTGACCTATTTCTTGGGTGGCTCAGACGATGACACCCAGAAACAAAATGCACTTACCCATGGCTGGGTAATACTGTTTTGTTTTGTATAGTTTAGTGTTTTGGTGAGTGTTTTTATAAAGTCCAGATTATTTGTTTTTTTGTTTTTTTAAGAGCTGAATATATTTATTTATTTATTTTACTATTTTTATTTATTTATTTATTTATTATTATTATATTAGTTTATTTTTACATATTTTTGTGCATTTTTCCATCTCAGTTGCAATCCCCTTGGGTTTCCCATCACCAAATTACTCATGTCAGATCATTTGTTTATACAAACACACATATCTGTAAGTACACACACACACGCACACACACACACAGCCCATGGGGTTCTTCACGCCGAGTCTTGAATCCCCCTCCATGTAGAGGATGCTAAGTGTCACTTTGGGTGAGGGTGCTTCCTCACTCAAAGCGCCCTCTGCCCCTTCCCTGGCCCCCCAAACTGTATGCCATGACTGTGCCTCCAGACTCATCGTGGGAGCCCCCCTGGAGGTGGTGGCAGCCAACCAAACTGGACGCCTGTATGACTGTAAGATGGCCGCCAGCCATTGCTGGCCCATCTTGCTGTACCGTGAGTGACCAGACCCAGCAGTCAGGGCCCCCAACCCTCCCACACCCGAGCATCCCCTCCTCAGCCTTTAGCCCAGTGCGTGCCCTAAATGAGGGTGTGACCATGCGTTTGTCCACTCAGCGCCCCCAGAGGCCGTGAACATGTCCCTAGGCCTGTACCTGGCGGCCTCCACTAAGGGTTCCTCGCTGCTGGTAAGTTCCCCTGAGTCTCAGGACTGGGGAGGGGCCCAGAGCGGCTGGGCCTGGGGGAGCAGTGGAGGGGGTGTTCTGGGGGCCCCTTGCCCACACAGGCCTGTGCCCCCAGGCCTGCGGCCCCACCCTGCACCGAGCCTGTGGGGAGAACATGCACGCGGAAGGCTTGTGCCTGCAGCTGAACGCCCACCTGCAGACCACCCGCATAATCCCAACTGCCCTGCCCGGTAGGTCCCTGGAGACAGCACTTCCGGGTAAGGCACCTGCTGGCACTGAGGAGGACACTGTCCTGGGCCCACTGCCCTCCTGGAGGCTTCAGCTAACCCAAGAGGGACTGAGGTGTGCTAGGTCCGGCAGGGAGGGCAGCTCAGTGCGGAGCCGGAGGTGATCCAGGGTGATGGTTCTGAGGGGCTGACTTTTGGGGACCTGAGGACCTTAATGTTGCCCTCAGGTGCAGGGATGCTCTTGGCTTTTAGAGGAAGGACATTGGCTGGTGAAAACAGGGTACAGATGAGAGAGCCAGGAGCGAGGCAGCTCTGGAGGGTTCCCTGCCTGTACCAGTGTCTCCCAAGGAGGACTGGGGCTGCTCCCTGGGCCTCAGGGGCCCACAGCAGCATCTCTCAGAAAGCCAGGCTGCTAATGGGGGTCCAGGATCATCTGTGTCTTTAGCCAGTGACTTGGCTCCTTGGGCCTTTGTTTCCTCACTAGTAAAATGGAGCTTACTGTTGGGGTGATTCTGAGGGTTAAAGGTTTAATCTATGAAGGGCTTAGGCCTCCACCCGGCCCATAAATGAGGGCTGTCAGGACTGACCGTCCAGCTGGGACGTGTGTCTAAACTAGGGGGCAAGAGACACACTGCCTCACCTTAGGGTCCCAAGGGAATGGGCCCCAAGCAAGGTGGGCCGGTCAAGGAGCTGACTGAGAACAGTGCTTGTTCTCAGTCAGGGTCCCAGGTGAGGTGGGCTTGTAGCCAAAGGTGAAACAGTAGCAGAAATCTCCTCACCCCAGATAAAACTTGGAGAACAGAGACTAGAGAGGAGACAGAGAGAACGGAGGAGGAGAGTCAGGGCCCCGCTGGGAGGCCTGTGCAGCCGCGTGGGGTAGAGTGTGGCATTTAAACACCCAGAGGTGCATATCTTCTAGATGCCTCTGGGCTCATGGAGGGGGGGCGCCTGGTGAAACGGGATGCAGGAGCATAGTGGGGTGTAAGGAGGCAGGTCTGGGCAGCAGGGCCAGGGCCATGTGTGGGCGGGGCTGGTGCCTGGAGTGCTCCACTGACGGTGCCTTCACAAGGTCCTGGGTGTGGGCAGGATAACCCCCATCTCACAGACAAGAAAACTGAGACTCAGAGCGGGGTGTTCCCAGCGCCAGAAGGGGCCGAGCCCCGAGCTTGGGCCAGCCTCCCCTCGCTGGCTTGGTCCTGGCCCAGAAGTTCTTCAGCTGCAGCAAGTGCTGCTGTTGGAAGCCAGGGGGATACAAAATGAAAGGGGAAAACAGAAGTGACACGGTGAGGTAGCGTGTCGCAGCCTGCCCTCAAAGAGGATGTCGTGATGCCAGCTGAACACATGGACACAAGTGCAACTGCAGGGTGGGGTGGGTGGGGTGGGGTGGGGTACCCCAGGGAAGGTGTGAGTCCACAGTCAGCCTGTGATGGCTGGGTTTCCAGGCAACCGTGCAAACAGGAAGGCGAGTGACCTCCCCTTTCTTCTCAGCTCTGGCGAAACACCAGGCTGTTGAGTAAGTGGGAGGGGGAGGAGTGACCCAGTCAGAGTGACTGTTCAGCCTCACACCTCAGCACTGTGCTGGCCTCATCGCCCACTACCCAGAGCACAGCACAGGATGTGGGGTAGCACCGACAGAGTCCTGCACACAGCCACAGCCCCCTCCCCCAAAGTTTGGGAGCAGCCTGAAGTAGCTCATGGTAAAAGATATAGGGTATCTTTACGTATGGTGCGGACTCCAGACCAGGGATAGTATCTCTTTTAAAAGCTATGGTCTGAAATAAGATTTCCCCAGAAACAGACTCTGAGGCCCGTCAGGGAATGTTCTGGGGACAAGTATCCCGAGAGTGTGAGGGAGGCAAGACTGGGCCGGGGGAGGTGAGCTCGGATGTGATCCCAACAGAAGCCCCAGCAGACCGGCGGGGAGTGTGACTAGAGTCCACTTTAGGGGTGACTCCTGGGGAAGAACCTAGCTGGGAGCCCGTGACAGCCAACGGCCTGCTGCGGGAATGGGCATCTCCATCCTGACTCCCCAGGTCACCTGCAGTGCGCCCTGGGCCCAGAACAGAGCTCGCCCGTGGTGACGGCGGTTCTAACGGCCGGCTGCCGTGGGGCTAGGCCCTGGCAAAGCACTTCACACACCCTCGCCTTGCAGTCACCTCCTGAGGCTGGCACTCTTAGTATCCCGTTTTATGGAATTGGGAAACTCAGCAGGGGAAGCTGACGCTGGGCCCAGCCCCGGGCTCCAGGGTGAACGCTGACCCACTGGCTCACCGCCTTCCCCTGAGCTTGACGGCAGGGTAGTGTCCACTTAAAATTACATTTGTTGAGTGCACGAATGAGGAGCCCACCCCGGGCCCTGTCCTCTGCTTCTTTCTCCCCTGCCCCAGGCCTGGTTAGGAGAGGGAGCCTCAGGCACTCTGCTGAGGGGAGAAGGGGCTGGGGCAACACGTTGGGGCCTCCTCTGTGGACCCCATGCCAGAACGGTGCAGGGCAAGTTCCTGGGCCCTAGGAGAGGGCTGGGGCACACACGCTCATCTGATTCCTCCCTCTGCAGAGTGTGCAAGTTCAGAGATGGACGTTGCCTTCCTGATTGATGGTTCTGGCAGCATCCACCGTGATGGATTCCAGCAGATGAAGGACTTTGTCATAGCTGTGATGAACCAGTTCAAGGGCACCAACACCCTGGTGATGATGGAGACGGGCTGGGCGGGAGGGAGTCTGCCTTTGGGGAAGACCACCCTGGCAGGGGGCCTGGTGGCTGCAGGTGGCTCTGTGGACCTGGGGTCCCAGAGCAGGCCTCATCCCAGCCCTGACCTGGGGTTTAATATGCCCCCCAAGTCAATGGAAATACACTGTTTCTGCTACTCAAAAACACCAAAAGAAGTATAAAATATTCCTGCTGGGAAATTTAACTAAAGGTAACTCAACCAAATAATTGATAATTTATTATGTTTTCCATGTACCTCATGATTTAGTGTATAATTTTATTTCTTAGTAATTAGATATATGTCTATACAGACTCTTGAGGCACGAGGGAATATGACCTATGAATTAAAACCTACGTTATAGATTTTTCTGATTGTACGTTTGACAATACTGCAATTGGCAGGGAAAGGCTCTGGAGGCCATGAATGAAGCATTATTTGGTTTTGATTTTCCAGTTTTCTCTTTGGGACCAATTTTTACCTCCGAGTTTTAGCTAGACCTCAAAAACACATAAAAAATGGTTTTTAAATGCCCAGTTATTACAAAATGAGCTTCTGATTCCCAAGGCCCTCCTCTCGCCTTTGCAGTTCGCGCTGATGCAGTACTCAAAATCCATGAAGACTCACTTCACCTTCACCCAGTTCCAGAGCAGCCCGAGCCCGGAGAGCCTGGTGAACCCCATTGTCCAGCTTGGATCCTTAACATACACAGCCACGGGCATCCAGAAAGTGGTGTAAGCACTCCCTACAGGACAGAGCACCACGCTGCACACGCCCGTCCTCACGTCCTTCTCCTAGGCTGAGTCCTCCCTGGAGGACTCTGGCCTCTCACTGACTGTGTCTTCCCTGACACAGGGGGGCACCACAGCAGGGAGCCTGGCCCCTGATTGGCTAGGCCCTGTGTGTTCTGAGTTTGTAGAGCTGTGTAAGAATATACATACGTTTTTGTTTTGTTTTTTTTTAAAGATTCATTTATTTATTCATACAGAACTGGGGTACAGGCCAGAGATGCGGAGGGTGGGAGGAGCCACCGGAGACAGAGTGGGGAGCAGAACAGGCTGACCGATAAAGCACACTGCTGAGGGGAGCAGCGGGCGGGCCAGGAGAGGTCTGCCACGCCATGTGGTCACCTCCGGGGCAGGCGGGGATTGAACTCATGCGGAAGCGGCTTGAGCTTCTTAGTGCTGTGCTTTAACCTGCTGCGCCACCAGGGAGAGCCCATACATACATTTTGAATACTTGTTGTCATTCACTGGTGTGAAAGCCTTACCTCATTTAATCCTCAGAATAACCTGACACTGTCTCCATTCCCTATTTTCAGCTAGCAGACCACTTCCAAATTTAGTGGCTTACATACACTCTTGCATTACTTTTCACTCTCCTGCGGCTCAGCAGGGTGGTTCTTCTGCTATTCTTGTTTGGGTCTCACGTGTGGCTGTGGTCCGGGGAAACAGTAGGCTGGAACATGAGGGCTGGGTGGGGCCTGGCATGGATTGCAGGCTGGGCTCCCTTGGATGGCTGGGACCCTCTCCCTGTGGCTGCTCGTGGGGGAGCCTCCGACAGGGGAGCTGGACTTCTTTCATGGCGGCTCAGCTACCAAGCCCTCTTAGGCCTTGGAGTGACTGGCATGTTGTCACTCCTGTTAATGCTTCTGATTAAAGTGAGGGGAATCTGGCAACATCTGTAGACACCAGCTTTACTTCTCACTTTGCATGGAGAAAAGAGGAGGCTCAGAGAGGTGGAATAACCTGCCCAGAGTGTGCCCGATGCCACAGCTCCTACTCTGAGCCATACTGTCTCCTGGAAATTAGGTTCCACAATGAGTGAAATTTTAGGACCAAACAATACAAGTATCTTTAACACTGGTCTTACTGATTGCTGTCAGTATGACTTTCAAAAAGGACTGAATTGATTCCTTAACATACCCGACAGAATTTGAGGGTACCAAGACTCCCAAATATCTCCAAGATGAGCTTCCAGTGCTGCAAACGATTTCCTTCCAGAACTAATCACATCTCAGTAAAGTCATCCCCCATTCTTCCCTGACAGGAGAGAACTATTTCATAGCAAAAGTGGAGCCCGCAAAACAGCCAAGAAGATCCTCCTTGTCATCACAGATGGGAAAAAATACAAAGACCCCCTGGGATACAGTGACGTCATTCCTGAGGCAGAGCATGCCGGCATCATCCGCTATGCCATTGGGGTGCGTCTTCTCCCTCACAGCCCCTCCAGACTCAGCCTGACCTCTCCCAACAGAAAGTCCAGCAGTTGCTCCCGCTCAGCTGTCTCTCTGCTGCAGGTGGGAAAGGAATTCCATAATCCCAGTGCCAGGCAGGAGCTGAATACCATCGCCTCGGCGCCCTCCCAGGACCATGTGTTCAAGGTGGACAACTTTGAAGCCCTCAGCAGCATCCAGAATCAGCTGCAGGAGAAGATCTTTGCAATTGAGGGTGAACAGGGGGGTAACCCTGGCCTTGAAGTTGCAGTGTCCCCCAACAGTCCTGAGCATCTTACAGCTCACCCAAGCTGCAGATTCCCCAGACCATATTGTGCCCCCTCTATCCCAAGTCCTCGTGACCTCATGGCCTCCAGGAGCTTAAGCAATTTGTTTCCTCACAGGAACCCAGTCAAGGACAAGCAGCACCTTCTGGCATGAGATGTCACAAGCAGGCTTCAGTTCAGCGCTCATAGGGGTGGGTGAGGCATTGTGCTTGACTAATAGCCACTCACCCAGGACCGGCCCTGGGTTGGGAGGCAAAATTGAAGGCAGACCGTGTCCTCAAGCTCACCACCTAGCAGGGGGGAGGGAACAGACTACCTGGCAGTGTTTGTAGGTGCTAGGAGAACCAGATAGCCACGGTTCTCGCTCCCATGGAACACACATCTACTGAGAGATGACACAACAAAAGACCTTAGATAGTGTGCTAAATTGTTGGGAGAGAGAAAGAAAGGTCATCAGATGAGGCCTGAAGAATAGCAACTGAGGCTGAAGGATGAGAAAGGACCAGGTCTGGAAAAATCTGGGGAGAAATTGCTCCAGGTAGAGGGGAAAGCATGTGCAAAGGTCCTGAGGCAGGAGCAAGGTGACTGCATTACAGAGACAGCTGGAACAGAGTGAGCTGGGACCAGCAAGGAAGAAGCAGGAGAGGTGAGAGGGTGGGACCATGTAGGCCAAAGAAGTGACAGAGCAGCACGACTTGTGAAAAGTCAATGTGTTCAAAATACTCATAAGGGTTTATTTCAAAGTAATTTGGGGCCCATTGAAGAGATGGAAGAAATGAAACAAGTTGGTCATGGATTTATCAGTGAAGATGGATGAGTTTTGGAAAAAGCGTAACTTGACAGGTTTGGTGGGAAAGGAGCCTAGACGCCACCCTAGGAGCAGGGTGACAGAGACCCATCTCCTTTGGCACATCGGGTGTGAGGAAACCTAACTCTGGGCGAGAAAGATAGAGCAGAGGGGAGCAAGTTCAGAAGCAGAAAGGGCAGTAGGTGAGAGGCAGGCACTGACTGGATAGTGGCAGTGGGGATAGACTGGGGCACACTAGGTGTTGGGGACACAGGCTGCTGGTGAGCTAGAGAAGGGGAAGGAGCACCCCAGTGAATGGCTGGGGCCACCGGTCTCCTTTGGCACTGGCTGGCTGCTTCTCGCTCCCACCGGCTCAGCCCTGGAATCCTCTCCTCCCAGGATGAAGCCATTCTAGGGGCGCTGGGGAGCTACAGCTGGTCTGGAGGTGCCTTCCTGTACCCCCAAAACATGAGTCCCACCTTCATCAACATGTCTCAGGAGAATGTGGACATGAGGGACTCTTACCTGGGTGAGAAGAGGCCGGGGCTGGGGCCCAGGTGGGAGATGGGCCGCCTGGGATGAAGCTGGGGGGTGGCGGGGGAGCTTTTGTGATGAGGCCTGGCCCCCCTCAGGTTACTCCACTGAGCTGGCCCTGTGGAAGGGGGTGCAGAGCCTGGTCCTGGGGGCCCCCCGCTATCAGCACACCGGGAAGGTCATCCTCTTCACCCCAGTGTCAGGGCAATGGAGTGTGACACGGAAAGCTGAAGTCACGGGGACACAGGTTGGGTGTGGAGGGAGCCTGAGGGTGGGCAGGGGCAGCAGGGGGGTGAAAGGCTTTTGAGGTCTGGGTGGGTGCTGGAGGCTGGGGAGGGGGGCCTGTCCCAGAGCGGGTGGCTCTGGTAGGAGCAGGCAGGATGACTTCAGGCTCCGCCCTCCAGATCGGCTCCTACTTCGGGGCCTCCCTGTGCTCTGTGGACGTGGATGGAGACGGAAACACAGACCTGGTCCTCATCGGGGCCCCCCATTACTATGAGCAGACCCGGGGAGGCCAGGTGTCCGTGTGCCCCTTGCCCCGAGGGGTGAGTGGCTGATGGGGCCAGAGTTGGGTGGGGCCTGGGGGTGGGGGGCTCAGGTTGGGGCCTGACTCCGTTTTGTTCTGCAGCGAGCCAGCTGGCAGTGCGTGGCTGTCCTCCGTGGGGAGCAGGGCCACCCCTGGGCGCGCTTTGGGGCCGCGCTGACCGTGCTGGGGGACGTGAATGGGGACAAGCTGACGGATGTGGCCATTGGGGCCCCGGGAGAGCAGGAGAACCGGGGTGCTGTCTACCTGTTTCACGGAACCTCAGAGCAGAGCATCAGCCCCTCCCACAGCCAGGTGAGGCCGGTCAGCAATCTCCTCTAGTTCCCCTCCTCTCCCGTTACCGTTACCGGGGTTCCTCAGACGTTGCCTCCCACAGGTCCTTAGCAGCCAGCCTCCTTCTTGCCATTTATTTCCCGGGAATCTCCCCAGACCCAGCCGAGCACACATTCTCTCTCTCCACTGGCTCCAAACAGACTCCAATCTGTGGTGGGTGGTGTCACCAATGGAGCTCACAGGGCCCAGGTCAAGCACCCAGCCAAGTCAGCTGTGCGGCCTTGGCAAAGGGACCAATTTCATTTCCCTGAGAACCATCAGACAACAAGCCAACACCCCAGCTTCAGTGAGGGCCCTGAGTGTTCATCAGTCTGCCTGAAGACACCAAGATGAAGAAATGAGTCCACTCTTCCTGCTGTTATGCTTTTACTTTGTCATTACTCGTGATGACGGGGACCAAGTGTTCCCTTCTTGGTGGGTCCCTGAGCCCCCACTCTTTGCCTTCCATTCCTCCCTCCCAGTCTCTCCTTTCCATTTCTCCACTTTGCCTGCTCCCCAAACCTCTCCTCTGAACCCTTCCCCCACCCCAGACTCCACATGGCCCCCCTTCTCCCGCAGCGGATCACGGGCTCCCAGCTCTCCTCCCAGCTCCAGTACTTCGGGCAGTCGCTGAGCGGGGGCCAGGACCTCACAAAGGATGGGCTGGTGGACCTGGCCGTGGGGGCCCGGGGGCTTGCCCTGCTGCTCAGGTGAGACCAGCCTTCCTCGGCCACAGCCTGTTCCCAAGGGGCCGGAGTGGCGCTCACTGCTGCGTCCGCCCACAGGAGCCGGCCCGTGCTGAAGGTGGGGGTGAACATGAGATTCTGGCCCGTGGAGGTGGCGAAGTCTGTGTACCAGTGCAGGGGAAAGGTGACCTCCACCCTGGAGGCTGGGCAGGCCACAGTCTGCCTCACTGTCAGCAAAAGTGCAGAGGACAAGCTAGGTGAGCTTCCTCCCATAACTGCCCGCTGTGGGCCTCGCCTCCCTGGAGGCTCTAGGACACAGTGGGCCCAGGAACCCCACATGCCTACATGTTCGCTCAGCTGCTGGTGTCAAAACTTGGGTGCCCTCTCCTGCCCTTTCCCATGCCTGGGCCGGGCCTGGAGGCCCAGTGTCCAGGGTCCACCCGGAGTCTGCGGCCTTCTCTCCATGGCCCCGCCCCTGCCTTCCTTGTGGCCACTGCTCTCACCAGCGAGCAGCTGTCCACATCCACCCGCACCACCATTTGCCACAGAGGAACTAGAGTGACTGGTTCTAAAATGCAAATCCTGTTTAACACTCCTGAATCTTCTCCTTCTTGCATTTTTTTTAAAGATTTTTATTTATTTATGCATATAGAACTGGGGTACAGGCCAGAGGTGCAGGGGCGGTGAGAGGATTCACCAGAGACAGAGTGGGGAGCAGAACAGGCAGATCGACGTAGTACACTGCTGAGGGAGCAGCGGGCGGTCAGGAGAGGCCTGCCGCGCCGTGTGGGTCAGCTTCAGGGCGGGGGCTCGAACTTACACCGAAGCAGCTGCAGCCAGCTTACAGTGCTGCTGTCCAACAGGGAGGGCCCAGATTTAAATATTTTTAATGACTAAATCAGATAAGTTGTTTGAAACTCACTCCTCTTTCATTCCTCTTGGTCCCCGTTGAGTGTTTGTTTGTTTGTTTGTTTGTTTTTCAGTTTATCAGTTTATTTTTACATCATTTTGTACATTTTTTTCCCCTCAATTGTAATCCCCATGGGTTTCCCATCACTGAGTCACCCATGTGCCATCACCATAGCCTTCTTGCATTTCTAAAGACCCCAAATCCCTTCCCTCCAAAGCCTTGCTGATGTGGCCCCTCCCCTCCGCTCAGCACCCCTTCATGCCACTGCCCCTCACCCCACACATTTCCACAGAACGCACCAGCCTCTCGCTCCCTCTGGCCTCTGTCCCAAAGGCCTGAGTGTTCTCACCACTCTCCACCAGCCTCTGCTCATCCTCCAGGTTGAGCTCATCCAGGAAGATACCTGTGGCCCCAAGTCCGAGGGTCCCCCCATGGGCTGTCCCACCTCCTGGACTGTGAACTCCCAGGGCAGGAAGCACAGCTCTGTCTTCACAGGTGTCTAGGGCACCCAGAAGTTGTGGTCACAGAAAGTGCCCAGTAGCTCTTTCCTGCAGGAATAAATGGAAAGGGAACATTCTAGGTTCTCTTTGACATTCCATCTTCCACTCCTTTCTGCCTCAGGTGATGTCCAAAGTTCTGTCTCGTATGACCTGGGCTTGGATCCAGGCCGCCTGACCTCTCGTGCCATTTTTCATGAGACCAAGAATAGGACTTTGACACGAAGTAAAACTCTGGGTCTGGGGGAGCACTGTGAGTCTGTGAAGCTGCTCTTACCGGTGAGGACCAGCAGTTCTGGAAAAGGGAGAGGGAGGAGGAGACTAGCACCCCTGTGCCCCACTGAGTGAGGTGGGGAGGGTGGGGAGACTGGCCTGTGGAGAGGAAAGTTGGGAATGGAGAACCCGCTCCACAGCCTGGCTTGGGTACTCTATGGGACTGGATGCGGGGGAAGAAAGCCCCAGTGGTAAAAATAGAGGATCCTAGATTCTTGAAATCCCATTCTTCCTCAGGACTGTGTTGAGGACATGGTGAGCCCCATCAACCTACGCCTCAACTTCTCCCTGAAGGGAGAGCTCCTCCCCTCATCGAATCTTCGCCCTGTGCTGGCTGTGGGCTCACAGGACATCTTCTCTGCCTCTGTGAGTTTTCCAGTGAAGTCCCAGGAGATGCTCGCTTTCATTGTGTCTCCATGTACTTAAGAACCCACGTGGCTCTCCAGTGCCCATGAAGCACCCAAAATCCCAAAAGACCCACCCAGTTCCCAAGATCCCACCTATCTTGCACCTCAACATGCACCCTACTGACCACCCCAACAGAAACTGGCTGCCATTCTGCTTCCCACGTTCCCACCCGAGTCTTTGGCCATGTTGTATCTCTCATTCGGAAAGCATTTCCTTCTCTCCATCGCAAAGATCTCTAGTCCCCAAAGATTCTCCTATTTCTCTTTCCTTTGAAAATGGTACCGAGCACCTGTCACTTTTCCAACCTCCTGTCTTGTCATAGTGATACCTTGACAGGTACCAAGTGGCAGACATCACAGCAACTGCATCTACTTCTGTGGCTTCCTGGGATGCAAGAACCATGACTGATTCATCTCTGGTCTCCATCTTTCCTAGCCCCCCCAACCAGCTCCCATTATTGACACTTAATGTTTGAATAGTTTTTCCAGTATGAGGACCTAGTCTGATCTTTCTTTTATTGTCTAACTGCCTCTCCCACCACCCCACTCCTTACCAGTGTCTAGCAGAGTGGGGGGCGAGGGGAGGCGCTCAGTAATTATGTTGATGAGTACCCCCAAGAACAAGGACTGTTAATGAGGGGCTGGGGCAGGACGAGGGCAGTGGAGTGAAAGAGGCTATGCTGTGTTGCTGCAGCTGCCCTTTGAGAAGAACTGTGGACAAAATCGCCTCTGTGAAGGGGACCTGAGAGTCAGTCTCAGCTTCTCAGGGTGAGTGCTCTCTCTTGTCTCTTCCAGAACTCAGGGCTGTGGGTGTCCCTGTCCTCAGAAGATGAGAAATGCTTGTCTTCCCCTTTGGCTCTCCTCCCAAATAAATGGTGTCAACTGGCATGTGACCAGAGTCCCCACAGACCTGCCCCTGCCCTTGATTCAATCCCAACCTATGTGGTGTCCCTCTCCAGTCTTGTCCTTCCTCCTCAGTCTGCAGACCCTGGTGGTGGGGAGTTCCCTGGAGCTCAATGTGACAGTGACTGTATGGAATGAGGGTGAAGATTCCTACGGAACTGTGATCAGCTTCGACTATCCAGCAGGGCTGTCCTACCGGCGAGTGTTAGAGATCCAGGTAAACAGCTCCGCGACTCCAGTTGGCTGTCTGGACTCCCTCCCCTGCCCTGAGTTCCTTTTAATTCTCTCATGATGAAAGACACAGAGCATGGGAGAGGTACATAAAGCACATGTATAGTTTTCATGAATAAATTGAAGCACATTTCTACTCAGTTAGCATTCAGGTCAAGAAATAAACCATTGCTACCATTTAGCACTGTCAGACTTTTAAATTTTTGTCAATCCAGTGGGGGGGGGGGCGGAGTAAAAGTATTTCCTTGCAGTTTTAATTTGTATTTCTCTAATAAGCAGCTTCACATATATTTATCCTGGTCAGCTGAATTTCTTCTTTTAAGAAATGCCTTCCAAGACTTTTTCCTGTTCTTTGAATTGTTTTTTCTCATGGGGCTGTAGGAGTTCTTTGCACACTTTGCTTCCTAGTCCTTTTTCAGATGTATGTGCTCAAATAGTTTTTCCAATCCTGTTGCTTATCTTTTTTGACTCTTCATAAGTATCTTTTAATTTAAAGAATTTCTAAATGTGCTTGTAGTTGACCTTTATCAATCTTTCCCATCGTTTGTAGTGTTTCTGTGTGTATCTTGTTTAAGAAATACTACCCTACCCTAAGGGGTGAAGATATTCCCCTATATTATCTCCTAAAAGTTTTACAATTTTGTCTTTCACACTGAAATCTTTAACTCAATTGGACTTATTTTTATTTGCTTTATATATTATTCATTTTAACATACGGAGTGAGGAAGGAATCAATATTTTTGTCTTTGTTTCAATGAGCCAGTTTTCTCTGGGCCTTTTATTGAGGTCTGCCCTCCTACTGCTCTTCAGAGCTACCTGAACCCCGGTGTGCATGTGGGTAAATTTTAAAAATTCATTCTCCTTCCCTGGAAGCAACCCCACCAGCGCCCACTGCGTCTGGCATGTGAGGCCGTACCCATAGGGAATGAGGACCGGAGAAGCAGCAGCTGTAACATCAACCACCCCATCTTCCGAGGGGCCATTAAGGTCAGAGTTTCTTCTCAAACCTTCTCCCTTGTCCGGACCCATTCCCTTCTCCTACCCCCCTGTGATCTTCCTTGTGCCCATTCCATCTTTCTTCTCTCAGGCCACCTTCATAGTCACATTTGATGTTTTCTACAAGGCCAAGCTGGGAAACAAGCTGCTTCTAAGGGCCAATGCAAGCAGGTGAGCCCAGGTGAAGGTCACGTGTCCTAACACACCAGTCTCTTGCCACAGCTTGGGACTTTTCTGGATTCCTTCCCAAGTGGGCTCTTCTCTACTCCCTCTTTTCCAGTGAGAATAATAAGCCTAAAAGCAGCAAGACCACCTTCCAGCTGGAGATCCCAGTGAAATATGTCATCTACATGATGATCAGCAGGTACTGAATGTCTGGCCTTGGGCCTCTGATATTCCTCTAAGCCTAGTCCCACTCCTTGGTCCCACCTGCTCATGGGAGGATGAGTATCTGGGCTGGCCCCTGACTCCTTACATGGCTCAGGAAACATGTGTGGGACCAGACATGTGGTTAGACCGTGACACCAAATACGGTAATTCTGGCTTCTCTGATGAAGTGGCCTGTGGGTGGGACGCACACACCTTGCCACCACTGTGCTCTCTCTCCTCTTTCTCCAAGACATAGCTTCCTTCAACATGAAGCCAAGCCTATCCTTAATGCCAAACACGAAGCTCATGCAGAAGTGAAGTCACCAGCCTGAGAGAGAGGCTCTTCTGAGCAATGTGGGGTTTGTGCCCAATAGAGTATGCTCACAGGAAAAAGGAAAGCTCAGGCTTTCCAGAACATGGAGAGTGGAAGGGAGAGAGAGTTGGGAAGGTCTCTGAGCTCACAGCCCAGCTGCTGCTCCACTTCTGAGGTGGGGGAGGGGCAGGAAGGCCAGGCCGAGACACAGCATGGAGTCCAACACCTGGCTACACTCCCGAGTTTCTGAGGGTAGAGACTGCCTCAGGATGGAGTTTCAGGGGAACAAGGGAGAGGGGGTCACTGCCCTTCCACATATCCTGTGTGAAGTTCCCCTTCTATCCATGAGGAATTTCTGAAAATAGCCCCCAACCTAAACATCTCCTACTTATGCCGGTCAAGCATTGTTTTGAGTACTTGCAGGTATTTATACTTGGTAAATAATGCTAACAGCATCTACAATCACAATGATATACAGTTATCCCTTCTTACCAACAAAGAAAGCAAGAGGTTAAATGCTTCCCCCTGGCATTCAGCTGTGACAGAACTAGAGGTCAAGCCCAGGATTTCTCCTGCCACAGCCACTCTGCATGTCTCTCCAAGGGCTGGAGAGCTGAGTTATCACCTCACATTTGAAAAGAGGTTTAGAACTGGACAATTTTGAGGTGGGGAAGCTGAAGCAGAAAGGGCTGGGGTGAAGTGCAGAAGTTAAGCACAGTAGACTGAGGGAAAAACAACTTATGGAGCGGCCCTCACAGTTCTGTCAGAGATAGGCACTAATATTAGTTCTCCCATTTAAAAATGATTTTTACAAGACTTATTTCATTTATTTCTGCACACAAGAACTGAGCCAGAGGTGGAGGAGTTGGAGGGCTAGTTTAGACGATTCACCGGAGACAGAGTGGGGAGCAGAACAGGCATGTTGACTGAAACACACTGCTGAGGGGAACAGTAGGGAGACAGGAGAGGTGTGCTGGGACATGTGGGTCACCTCCACGGTTGGGGATCAAACTCGTGCTGGAGTGGATAGCTTTGTAGTGCAGAGACTAACCCTTATAACCAGGGAGGTCCAACACATTTTAAAGAGGGAAAAAAACTCCAGGGTATCACAAAGGTTAAGTCACCATGCGTTAGACAGGAAGCGGTGAACCTGAGTTCTGAAGCAAGCGGTCGCGCTCTTGAGCCAGTGAGCTTTATCATCAAGCTAAAGATCACATCTGTGTGAGCACTGGGGATGGTGAAGTTTCCCCAGACGTTTTACCGCAGGTGCTGGCGACACATGCTTGTTTGGTCTGGTACATGCTGGAAGGCAAGGTTTATGGTTTATTAACTGTCAAATCTCCAGAACCAAGCATACAACCTAGTGTATGGAAAATGTTTACTGAAGGAAGCCAGGAGTGGGTGGGTGGATAGGCAGATGGATGGACAGATGGACAGACAAACAGATGAATGGATGTATGGATGGATGATTGGAGAGCCACGCACAGGGTGGGATATTTATGTCCACTCCATAAACTCCCACATTTACTTAACTGCCTGGATGACCAGGCAAAGGACAGGAGAGACCCAGAGCTGAAGCAGGGATTTCAGACCCTGCGGAGAATGCCAGCTTTTCCCTGGGCATCTGCTGGGCCCAAAGGTGCCTTGCAGGAGCAGGCTGAGCACACCCAAGGATGGTCCCAGGGCTGTTTTTCACAAGTGAGCCTTTTCTCTCCAGCAACGAAGAGTCCACCAAGTACCTGAACTTTTCAGCTACTGATAAGAACAACAGGAAAGAAGTTGAGCATCGATATCGTGTAAGAGGCCAAAGAGAGCCATATCCGCTGCCCCGGCGTGTTCGTGTAGGGTGTGGAGGGGAGAGGCCAAAGCTGGTGCTAGGAAAAAAGCCCAGCTGTGGGAGCAGGGGATGGTCTGAGTCTCCATTTTCTGCAGGTGAATAACCTGGGTCAGCAAGACATAGACATCGGCATCAACTTCTGGGTGCCTCGCCTGCTGCACGGCATGGCTGTGTGGAACTTGACCGTGGGGGCCTCTTCCCAGGTGCCTTTCTCACTCACAGGTCTGACCCACAAGTCCTCTCACTGCCCTCCCAGGGAAATGTGGGTCGTTCTCTTTCTCTCCCCCTCTCCCTAGAAAATCTCTTGTGTAGCAGAGAAGGAACCTCCCCAGCGTTCTGACTTCCTGACCCAGATTCCAAGGAATCTTGTGCTGGTGAGAAAGGCCCTAACCCTCCACGACAGGTATACCTGCGCCTCGGGAATACAGGGAAATGTCCTGCTAAGCCCAAAGCCCTGCACGCACTCTGTCATTGTCTGTATATTTGCCATCTTTTATGGTTAATTTAACCTTTTAAGTTAAGACTTCCTCAGGGCCCTCCCTGGTGGCACAAGGGTAACGTTAAAGTGCAGTACTTGAACTAGCTGCAGCC